TTTATTTGTTTTTTTTTAATTTTTTTTTTTTTTGTATTTTGTCAATTTTATTTGTGTTTTTGCATTTTTTTTGAATTTTTGTCACTTTTTTTTATTTGCCACTTTTTTAATCTTTGTCAATATTTGTCACAATTTTTAATCTGTCACTTTTTTAATGTTTGTTACATTTTTTTAATTTTCTCACTTTTTTCTTTAATGTATGTTACTTTTTTCTTGTCACTTTCTTAAAATTTAAATAATTTTTTCGAATGACAAACATCATTTTTAATAAAATTTGTATATCACATTTTAATAAAAAGTAACATGTCACTTTTTCTTTTTTAAAAAAAGTGACACAATGTCACTTTTTTTAGTGACAAACACAATGTCAATTTGATGGGGGTCACTTTTATGAATTTTGTCATTTTTTTTTAGTGTTTATCACTTTTTCCAATCAATTTCTTGATTTCTATAACTTTTTTAGTGACAAACATCATTTTTTAATAAAAGTGACATTATATGTCTTTTTTAATGAAAAAGTGACAATTAACTTTAAAAGTGACAATATATCACTTTTTCATTGTCACTTTTTACATAATCAGCATGTAGATTGACTTGGACGTGGTGATTATTTTAAGAACATGACTATTGGTGCTACCCAAATGAATGGTGTTATTTTGGTATTTGTCATTTCTTTAGTTTTGTCACTTTTTTTTTGAGTTTTTGTCACTTTAAAAAAAAAGTAAAAATGTGACAATTTTTATAAAAAAGTGGCATTGTATCACTTTTTTAATTTTACACAGTATTTTTTACTTCCTGAAAACTTTTCATACGATTTTTTAAAACATTTCTCATTTTAAAGGTATTTTTGTAAGTACCCCTTCTTTTTTCAAATTGCTGAATTGAAATCACACAGATACACCTCAACTTGATTGCGTCGCCACTGCCTGTGATTTCCAAGCGCCAACAAGCTACTATACGGTAATCGAATCAGTCACTACAAAAAAAATTCTGTGGATTGGATTGAATATCTATCATTGTTCACACAGATTCAATTAGTTCCTTCTCAGACATTTTTTTTGAGTGTTTGATGTTTCTCAAATTGTCTTCGGCTATTTGGGGATGGAATATCTAGTTGAGGAAATGAGGCCAAATACGGTCCAAAAGCTAGAAAATTGAATAGCACCATTTTAAACTAATTAAATAAGGGGAAATTTCATAAGTAAGAGGTTTAGTTTTACCCATTTCAAATTTAAGAGATAAAGTTTAAAATTTAAAATTTCAGATTTTTTAAAGTTTAAAATTTCAAATCTCATATTTTTTTAAGAAATTAATTAATGAAATATATATTTTATTAATTAAATATATTAAAGTCACAATTCCATATAATTTGATCTCAAATTCCATATAAGTGGTCACAAATCACAATTTTTACAAGTCACAAATTATTTTACAGTCACAATTCAAAAAATTTATAGGTCACATTTTGTTATCAGTCACAAATAAAAAATTGAGACGTTACATATTATTTTACGGTCACAATTTAAAAATTTTATATGTCTCAATTTGTTCATTGGTCACAAATCAGAAATTTTATAAATCGCAAATTATTTTACAGTCACAAATCAAGAAAAATTTTAGGTCACAAGTTATTTACAGTCACAATTCAGAAATTTTATAAGTTACAATTTGTTCATCGATCACAAATAAAAAATTTATACATCACAACTTATTTATCGGTCACAAATCACAAATATTGTAAGTCATAATTTAATAAATAGACACAAATTGTTAAATTATGGGTCACAAATTAACAATTTTTTAGGTCACACATTATTTTTTGATCACAATTTATATTTTTTATTAGTCACATATTGTTTATCTGTCACAAATTAATTAATTTAATGATCACAAACAACCAAATAGTATGTGACAACCACCAAAACTTGTGACCACCACCTCATCACTTCCACCAACATCATGACAACCGAACCCCGTCGCCAGAACCACCACCACCACCACCACCTTCCGGCAACAAATCATCATCTAAAAATACCACAAACACCACTACATACCCACAACCATCGCAGCAGCACCACCACGACCACCACAAACGCCACCAACATCTCCATCAGCGCACCACAGCCTCGACTGCCACATCACCACAGAGGCCATCTCTCACGACAGCCAACACCACCACAGC